CCACGCCGTCAGAGCATGCTGGTGGCAACGCGCCACCACCATGAGAATTGTCGAAATCACATGCTGAAATCATAAGTGCTGTCGCCACCACATAGCTGCGGCAATGTTTCTACTAACAAACGAACATGCAACATGTAAAGAGGTGGGGCTCTAGGGGCTCTTTAGGGGGCCTCTTGGGCTCTGTTGGGCGCCTGTTGGGGCCTCTTGGGGCGGAAGGCTCGAATTGTCGGTTCGTGTTTCTTGGGCCCCTCTTGGGACCGTCTTGGGGCCCTCTTGGGCGATCTTGGGCGCCTCTTGGGCCGTCGTAGGGCACTCTTGGGCCGTCTTGGGACTCTCTAGCGCCGTCGTGGCGCCCTCTTGGGGTGCCTCTTGGGCCGTCTTGAGCTGATTTCTGGGGCCTCGTGGGCTGTCTTGGACCGTCGGAAGCACGAAACAGCGAGAACATGAAAAACCATCGAAAACCATTGAACAAAACATTTTCGTTTCGCCTCCTGAGTGCCTCGTGGGAGTCCCTTTGAAGGCATCTTGGCCGTCTTGAAGCCCTCTTGGGCTGTCTTCAAGCCATGTTGGACCAATTTTGAAACGCTCCTGTGCGGTCTTGGTCTCTCTTGGAGCGCTCTTGGGCCATCTTGCGCCCTTTTGGACTTCTCTCGGCCCCCTTTGACGTTTTTTCGCGCCACCCGCCGGGCCGGAAACGGCCGGAAGACAAATCAGTGCACTCCGGGGCCCGGGACCCCCTCCGCATTCTATAGATGTGTATTTCTATATATCTATATATATATATATATATAATCGCAGCCCCCCCCCCAGCACCCACGAATTTCACATCGATGGATGGGGCGTCCATTCGCATTTTCACTGATCGATCCTCCGTTGAGCATCTGTCTCCAGTCGTCTTCCTCCTATTCCTCTTCCTGCTGTCAGCCCCCTGCAGTTCTTGGCGTTCCTCGCTATTACTCCCCCCATCGTCCTCCCTATGTTGACTCATCTCTCTTCCTCGGCTTCTGCCTGATTCCTTCGATTCCACCCCCAGTCTTCCTCATTGACAGGGATCCTTTTGAAATCGGTTACAACAGGAATCTTATTGAAATCGGATACACAAGGAATCCTACTGAAATCGGCTGCAAAGGGAATCCCATTCAAAACCCTTACAACTGAATTCTTATTGAAATCGTATTCAAAAGGAAGACGATTGAAATCAGCTATATAAGGAATCCTTTTTAAATCCTTACAAAAAGGAGCCTATTGAAATCGGCTACATAATGAATCCTATTGAAATCGGCTACAAGAGGACTCCGATTGAAATCCTCCCCAAAAGGAATCCTACTGAAATCGGCTACATAAGGAATCCTATTGAAATCGGTTGCGCAAGTAATCCTATTGAAATGCTCCACAAAAGGAATCCGAATGAAATCGGCGACAAAAGAAATACTATTGAAATCGGCTACAAAGAGAATCCGATTGAAATCGGCTATAAAAGGGATCCGATTGAAATCCTCCGCAAAAGGGAATCCGATTGAAATCGGCTACGAAAGAAATCCTTCTCAAATTCCCAACAAAGGGATCCCATTGACATCGGCTACAAAGGGAGTCTTAGTGAAATCCAACGCAAAAGGAATCCAATTGAAATCGGCTGCAAAAATAGTTAATTCAAAAGAGAAGGAGGAAGAGGAGGAGGAGTAGGACAGACATGAAAAGGAGGTGGAGGAGGATTCCGAGAAGGAAAAGGAAGAGGAGAAGGAGGAGGAAGAGGAGGTGGACAAGGAGTTTAAATTTGAGGAGGAGCGGGAAGAGGAGGAGGAGGAGAAGGTTTGGGAGAAGGGAACAGTTGAGCTGGCGCTGGCGCTGGCGCTTTACCAGCGATTCTATGAACTCCAGTGCCGACTCTGCGAGCGCCGACAGCCAAACGCCACGCGCAACCATGAAAACGCAGGGTATGCGAGGTCATGGCTAAGGACACCATGTTTTTTTTTGTTGGATGCTTGAATATGTTTGGGATGGAAATAAACGATAGCTTGTGTTTGCGGGGATTGTTCCCCACATGCTTAGTGGGGTTATGGTTTTCTTCCCTGCCGCGGCGCACCCGCGTCTAACTCAAACCTCTCTCCCTCTCCTTCTCACACAGCACAGCACACCTGCACAGCACAGCACAGCACAGCATAGCACTGCTCAGCACAGCTCACCACAGTTCAGCTCTGCACGGCACAGCACAGCACAACACAGCTCAGCTCAGCTCAGCACGGCACAGCACAGCACAGCACGGCTCAGCTCGGCACAGCACAGCTCAGCAGAGCAGCGCAGCACAGCACTGCTCAGCACTGCTCAGCACTTCTCAGCACTGCTCAACACAGCTCAGCTCAGCTCAGCACAGCACAGCACAGCTCAGCTCAGCACAGCACAGCACAGTACAGCTCAGCTCGGCACAGCACAACACAGCTCAGCAGAGCACGCAGGGCCGACACCGTAGGGGGTGCGCAGGGGGTGGTCCCTGAGCGCGGCCGCTATCCGAGCCGGCCGTCTACGGCATAGCAGGAATGGCATTTCCCGACACCGTAGGGGGTGCGCAGGGGGTGGTCCCTGAGCGCGGCCGCTATCCGAGCCGGTTGTCCAGGGCATAGCAGGAGTGGCATGTCCCGACACCGCAGGGGGTGCGCAGGGGGTGGTCCCTGAGCGCGGCCGCTATCCGAGCCGGTCGCCCAAGGCATAACAGGAGTGGCATTTCCCGACACCGTAGGGGGTGCGCAGGGGGTGGTCCCTGAGCGCGGCCGCTATCCGAGCAGGTCGTCCAAGGCATAACAGGAGTGGCTCTTTCTCGATACCGTAGCGGGTGCGAAGGAGTATATCAATGGCGAGGCTATCATCACTCCAGCCGTAATCGAAGTATGTGGGGTTCCTCGGTAGCGTAATTTTGATCATTTGGATTTGGAAGCCCTGCGAAAATACCGCCGCCGCTCCTCCCCCAGGCGGGCGCTCTCCGAATCCCAGAAATCGAAATGAAAATGCAAGGCTTGCGAGGTCAGGGGTAAGGGAACCGTGCGTTTTCATTTGGATGGTTTGGGAATTTGTGAGCGAAAATCAACGAAACCCTGTTTTTCATGTGGATTTGTTAGTTTTTTCTTGGGGGGGGACCCGACGAAAATGCCACCACCACTCCCCCACAGGTCGGCGCTCTCGGAATCCCAAAAATGCAAATGAAAACGCAGGGTTCGTGAGGTCAGGGGTGAGGAAACCGTGCGTTTCCATTGGGTTTTTTAAATAAAAAATCTGTGATGGAATTCAACGGACCCCTGCGTTTTCGTTTGGATGTTATTTTGGAATTCTGGAGCCCTACGAAAATACAACCGCCGTTCTTTCCCCAGGCCGGCGCTCTCAGAATCTCAAACATCCAAATGACAACACAACGTATCCTCACCCCTGACCTCGCAAACGATGTGTTTTCATGTTGTTTTTTGAGATTCTGAAACACCGACCTGGGGGAGAAGCGGCGGTGGTAATTTCGCAGGCCCCCCCCCAAAAAATGAAGCAATCCAGATGAAAACGTAAGGTTTCATGGATTTCCATCCCAACAATCGTAAACATCCAAATGAAAACGCAAGGTTCCCTTTCCCCTGACCTCGCGAACCCTGCGTCTCTATTCTGATTTTCGGGATTCTGAGAACGCCGACCTCAGGGAGGAGCGGCGGTGGTATTTTCGCATGGCTCCAGAATTCCGAAATACAAATGAAAACGCAGGGTTTCGTTCATGTCCAACCCAAAAATCCAAAACATCAAAATGAACACACAGGGTTTCCGTACCCCTGACCTCGCAAAGCCTGCGTTTTCACGTGGATGTCTGGGATTCTGAAAGCGCCCACCCGGGGGAGGAGCGGCGATGGTGTTTTTGCAGGGCTCCCAAATTCCCCCAACTTCCAAAAATCCGAATGAGAACACAGGGTTTCGTTGATTTCCATCCCAAACATCCAAAACACCCCGATCAAAACACAGGGTTTGGTGAGTCGACGTGTCGGCGTGAAGGTTCCTACACGCTGGTGTCCTCCGTGGTGGACGATGGTGTCCTTTAGCCTTCCACTGCGCTCTGAGGCAGAGCGAGCGCCACGCCGCCGTCAGATGTGAGAACAAAAAGAGCCGACGCGTAGCATGCTGGGAAGCGAATGCCGAGATTGGGAGGGAAGGGGGGAGGCAGAGAAGGGGATGAGAAGAGAAGAAGAGCCGAGAGAAAGGGAGATGAGTAAACACGTCGTCTGCGAATGCTGCAGGTGCTGGGGGCTGTCCATATATATACATGTATGTATACACTTATATGTTTATACATATACAGGTGTATATATATATGTGTGTGCATGCATGCATGCATGCATGCATGCATGTATGTATGCATGCATACATGCATGCATGCATGCATGCACGTATGTATGTATGTATGTATGTATGTATGTATGTATGTACGTCCGCCCTATGCCCCCTCGGATCCTGGCCATTTCTAAATGTCCTGGGCGGGGGCCTGGCGTTGTGAGGTTTGCTAGAGGGGAACTCGGAGCGCTGTTCTGCCGTTCGCTGTTATGCGCACTGGAACCAGCGATGACATTCTGGGAGACTCGAGAACCCTGAACACAGAGTCCTTGCCTTCGACTGCGACGGTCGCAGCAATTACTCTTTCTCATGAGCGTCAAATGTAAATGCCACTCTTGGGCCATGAGTGCCCGTGGCCTTGGCAATCCGTGTTCTGGTGTGGGCTCTGCAGCCACGCGTTTCGGCTGGAACACCTCTGGCAACAAGGGGCTGCACCCTCATTGCAGTCGAAGGGGTGAGAATTCACACGTGGAACCTCGTGCAGTTGTTTACCTCTTACTCCCCTGTGAACTGTTTTAGTGGAAAGGAGCTGTTGAGCTCAAAAAACCTCCTCCCCCCACCCAAATCCTATTCCGAGTCCTCCCACCCCACCCAGATGAAGGCGAGGAGGACGCCAACGGGGTCAGCACGAGACCCGGACATCCGAGGTCTTTCTTTTGATTGTGATGCCCTCACGGTGTGGTCGATCGCGATCTGCTGCGGTCGCAAAGTGCCCGTTGAATTGTACACGCGCCTCTGTGCGCACATGCCCAGCCCTGGCGCGGCCTTGATTGCGCACGAGCCGTGGCGCAAGGTGTCGCCTCGCAGGTTCTGTGACCGCCTCTCGCAATGACATCACAAAAACTGAGGCTCCACTCCGCGTGCGCCGCCAGGGGGCGCCCGGGCCAGGACTGCTTGGCAGTCCCTGTGGCCCCAGCGCGAACCCAAGCGGAGATCGAAAAAAGCCCTGGGACTCCTACCGTTGAGCCCAAGGACGCACAGAAGCTCATGGAAAAATTACTGAGACAGTGGGTTGCACTCGGCTGTCGTCTCCTCAGAACTACAGCCGGCCGCAAGCTCCCCCCACCGCCCACACGGTCGGGGCAACTCACCACTTTGGAACAACCCCAACTGCTGCCAGTCACCTATGACACAAACATTCGGCGAGAGCTTGCAATCGTGTTTCGGTCCTCTCCCATGTGCCATCTCCTTCTCCTCCTCCTCCCGCCTTCCCCTCCTCCTCCTCCTCCTCCTCCCTCCTCCTCCTCCTCCTCCTTTTCCTCCTCCTCCTCCTCCTCCTCCTCCCCCCCTCCTCCTCCGCCTCCTCCTCCTCCTCCTCCTCCTCCTCCTCCTCCTCCTCCTCCTCCTCCTCCCGCCTCCTCCTCCTCCTCCTCCGCCTCCTCCTCCTCCTCCTCCTCCCGCGGCACGTGCTTTTTTGGGTAGTGGCCCTGTCGGCTGGTCCGATGGGTCGGAGTGCCGTCGGGCTGCATAGGGCTGCGTCGGGCTGCCGTCGGGCTGCGTCGGGCTGCGTCGGGTTGCGTCGGGTTGTGTCGGGTTGCGTCGTGCTCCTTGTATTTGGGTAATTCCAGTGGTGCTCTGTTGTTTGTCCGCAACACTTGCTTGTGCTCTTTGTATTTGGGTAATTCCAGTGGTGCTCTTTTGTTTGTCCGCAACACTTGCTTCGGTCTTTTGTCTCTTGCTTGCTGTCAACCTCGTCGTGGAGAGGTACTGCATCGTTGATGTCATGAGGTCCCCCCGGGCAGTTTCTCCCGTACCAAACAGGGGCCCGTTTGGTACCCCAAAAACTGCCCAGGAGGGCTAGGCAGGGCCCGGCCGCGCACTGCGACCTCCATGAGGGGCCCGGCGGTCCCCCCGGGCCCCCCCGGGCAGTTTCTCCCGTACCAAACAGGGGGCCGTCTGGTACCCCAAAAACTGCCCGGGAGGCCCCGGTAGGGCCCAGCCGCGCCGGCCGCGCCTGGCGGCCACCGCCTCGGGCTTATTCGCGGGATTGCTTTTCATTACCTTCAGCTGTCTCGGCATTGGGTTCGATTCCAGGGCAGACGCCCTCCCCATGTGTCCTTTTGCGGTGCCGCATTGTGGCTGTGTGCAAGGGGGGTATGTTGTCCCCACCGTTGTAGCGTTCCGGTTCCAGCGCAGCGTCCATTGTGTCAGCACCGTCTGTTTTACCACAGTCAGTATGCAAGGACCCGGCAACCCGAGCGCCCGCTCGGCCTTTGTGGCCCTTGCCCGCACTCGGCTTGTAATTGGCAAATTGTGCACAACCCGGGCGGCTACGCTTGCAACCGTGGACTCTACTGCCCGCACCTCAAAGCGGAGGGGCCAGCGGCCACAAACGATCCAAAACTCCCTAAGCCTTCGCAAGCTCCTGTTCTCACCGGCCATATTGCCCGCCTGCACAAAGGAGCGGGCAAGGGGCAGGACAAAGGAAAGGGCAAGGGCCCGAGTGGACCCCTAAACCGCGGCACCGTCAACACCTAGAACAGCATGAACGAATGGGCGGGCGGCGCAGAAATGAGCACAGCCGCGCCGGGTGCCCCGCCCATGGCGCCGCGCGACCGCCACAGCGGAGGCTGGCGCCGCCGCGGACCCTACCATGAAGAGCAGCGTGGAGGGGGCTCCCAGCCCCACGCAGGCAGCGGCGGCGGCAAGCCCAAGCGCAAGGCCCCCGAGGATGCAGGAGGTCGACTCGACAAGCAATCGAGGGCGCAAGAGACCGCGCCCCCCAGCGGCCCCCTCTCCAAGATCGCGATGGCGCAGGCGGAGGTCGCCTTCTACGAGCAGCACTCCGCTCGGGGGTCAGATGGGGCATCCCAGAACCTCTTAGCGGCCCGCGAGAAGCTCAATCGTCTCAGGGACGAGCAATTTGACACCCTTGCCGTCTCGGAAAAAACACCGCATCACACGGGACAAGCTCGATAAGGCCAGCAGCGAACTGGAGGAGGATCTCCAGGCTCTGAACGACATTGAGGTGCAGATCGACCAGTTGTGCGACTCCCACGACGTCAAAGCAGCAGCCATTCAAGCCAATATCCTCGAGGTGCGCGGCCTCCGCGAGCAACTCGCGCAGATCACCGCCCAGATGCCGGCCCCCGCCGCCGCTGTCCCCAAGGGGCCGACGTCCGCTGAGACGCTGGAATTCCTTCAGAAACACCCGGACATCAAAATCCAAGAGATTAGTGCGGAGGAGCTTCAGAACCAGGTCGTCGCGTACCAGCGCCAGCTTAAGACCGAGGCAGCAGAGGCCGTTGCCCCCCTCCCTGAAGCCCCGGCGACTGGGCCCCAGGCGCCATCTGGCGCTAAGATGGCGAAGTTGGTGGCCAACAGCCGGCGCGTGGACGAAGCAGTCGCGGACCTCGACCCTAATGCCGGCGCCCCCGAAACCGCGGCGCCGCCAGAGACAACGGGCGGCGCAGGCGGGCAGGGTGGCGCCAGCAAGACCTCCCCGGATGGCGCAAAGGAGGACGGAACGGAGGTCAAAAGGGGCCGCGTAGCCGAGCCCGGAGCCCGCGATGACGAGCCGCGGGTGGCAGGGGGCGCCGCCGCTGACGCGGCCCACGCCGCGGCCGCCTCTGCAGCACCGGGGGCGCCGCCATCGCCGGGGTAACACAGGTGAACCCAGTTGCGATGAAAATTTGTCAGCCCTTGCCATCCCGCGGAGTTCTGAGGCGACGCAGCTCCAGACATTTCACGGGGGCGCTTGGACATCGGTCCGCCCCCAGCTGGAACAAGGGAACCTTAGTAATACCAAGGTATTGTTTTTGCAGAAGACCTTGTTGGTAGACCAGCACGATATCCAACTGGCGTCCGAGGCCTGCCTTCGCCTCGGCTGGTGCCCGCTTTTTGCCCCGGCCGTCCGCTCAGAGGGCAACAGACCAATTGGGGGGGTTGCAATTCTGGTCAGGCGAGCGAAAGATGTGGGCATCTCGGCATCTCCCCTCTTCCTGGTTCCCCTCCGCCTCCTCCCGAACCATCAAGGCTTCTGGCAGTCAAACTTAATATGCCAGGTTTTGCGCCTGTGATTTTGGTCTCTATTTACCTGCATCCTGTGATTCGACTAAGCCATGAGAGCCTTGCCCTCCTTGCCCACTTGGGAATTCTACAGCACCGCTGCAAGTTGCCCCTGTTACTGGGCGGCGATTTCACCCCCCCCTTCCATGCTCCAGCAGAGCGACTTCCTTGAGCGCAGCGGATGCTGCGCAGTTGCGGCCACGGACCCAACGTATTTTACAAAGAAGTCGAAGTGCGAACTCGATTTCTTTCTCATCTCCAAATCGCTCTTCCCGCTTGTGTCATTCCGCTTTCAACCCTCACCCCCTTCCTCGCCTCCTGTCCCTCGCCCAGCCCATCCTAACCCGCCCCCCTGGCGCGTGGGCCCAGGTAAGGGGCCCTTTCGGCGCAGCCATTCTATCCTTGGCTCGCATAGGGTGGTCGTTTCACACGCCGCTTGTACTGCGGGACCCTGCGGGCAGGAGGTGGCCCTTCGCATCCTTTTCTCCTAAGTTCATGGGACTCCAATTCCAAGAATATTGGGCGCAAACCCATTCCAGCGCCATTGCAGGCAAATTAGACCAGCCTGCGTCCACTACTTACGATTTCAGTGTGGCCCGGCGCTTAATTCAAGAATGCAGCCTGCAGAAGCACGAGCAAGGGCTACTTCTGTCATTCGTCTGCCAGTCGCTGTGGACAGCACATCAACTCAGGCAGGCAGGATACGACGTCGACACCACTTGCATTTGCGGGGCGCCTTCCGATAGCATCTCTCATCGCCTCCACTTCTGCCCCTGCGCCCGTGGCCTCAGGGACGAGGTGCTAACTGAGGGTGACAAGGCCCTCATTTCTGATTCGGCCAGGAACTTCCCATTTGTTTGCGGGTTCCTGGAGCGTCCGGAGCCAGTGTCCACGCCGCCGCCAGGCACTGGCATTGCCAATCGTCGGTTCTGGTGTGCCGCCGAAGGCACCACCACAGCGGAGGCCTTCATCGGCGATGTGTTCACGGACGGTTCCTGCTTCAAGGATGGGCCCGTCGTTATCCATGCTGTGGGGTGGGCGGTGGTGAAGCTGACGCCAAAGGCGAGCTCTTCGCCGCCCTCTGGGGGGCAGTCGGCGCGGACTACCCGCAGACCTCCCCAGCAGCTGAGCACATTGCCGTACTCGCGGTAATGAAATTGTGCCCGCGTGCCACTCTTATTTACTCTGATTTTTAGGGCTCGTCAAGCTCTCGGAGACTCCGTGGCGGCAAGTGGCGGCCCGGCAGCACGTGTACGCTGGCCTCCATGTGCAGATTCGGGGATCACCGGCCTGGTCCCACGATTTCCGCATTGTCAAAGTCCCAGCTCACGCGAACCCTTCTGATCTGCCAGCTGGATCGTTGGAGTGGTATCGAGCCGTGGGCAACGACTTTGCTGACAGGTATGCAAAGAAAGGTGCACCCACTTTAGGGCAGCCGTCTGCGTCAGAAATAACGGCATGGATTGAAGAGAGCGCCTCCTTGAGGCGATATCTCATGCATGCAGCACGGGCGTTACTTTTATACCCGAGACTCGCCCCTTCCAAAGCCATGCGCTCCTCTTTCAACGCGCGGCGAAGGGCACCAGGTTTCAAAACGGGCATTGCGGCTGCCCGCCAGGCGCTCCTGTCCCCACCGCCCCTGGCCACGCCCCCGCCACCGCCGCCCCTTTCCCCGCCCGACGCGGCAACTTCGGCAGCTGCTCCGGCGAACGCAGAGGGGAGTTCGTGGGCTTGGCGTCGCAACCGTTGGGCGTGTCAGCGCTGTTTGCGATTTGTGGCGAACGACCACAAGCCCGCGCCAAACGTGACGCCGTGCCCAGGGTATAATGCAGCCTTCTCTGCTCTGGTCGCCAACCCAAGGGGGCACCGACTGCATGTAGCAAATTACTCCCACGGTGTCATCTTTATTTGCGGCAATTGCGGCGCTTACTCTGAAACTGGCGCTTTGCATTCTTTGGGAAAGGAATGCCCACCAGGACGAACTTTCCCGTAATCGCTCTGCCAGGGGACAACACCCCAACTCGAAAGTTGGTCCCGCTTATTGCCTTGACGAGCGTCTCCCCGTCTCCGCCCTCTGTTCGTCCTAGTGCACTTTGAGTCCGTGGTCTGTGAAAAAGTTGCTTCGCCTAACGCAGGCGCCATCGCGAAGTCTGCTGCTCGGTTTCTTCTGCGGGGTTGGGGGCCCATTCCGACTGTGCTCTCTGCATGTCGAGATATGTCGCCCCCGGCGCCCTTCTGTGCCTCTCATACATATCCCTCGCGTGCTGGAAGACCAAGGGGGGAAATTACGTACACAGAGGCAGTTTTGTACGGAATTTCCCCCCTCCCCCCTTTTCCATGCATCTCTTTACTGTACATGAGCGCGTGCTGCGAGCGGCCCTGCCGAACACGGGGGGGCACAATTTGGTAACATCGCTCCGTCTTCCTTCCTTGGTCCCTGCCCTGAGAAGGGCCATGCGCACCTCCGAAGCAATCTGCATCACTTGCGCGAAGCCTCTCCCGCGCACCTGAGCAGCCCTTCCGGCTGTCGTCTCCGAGGATGGCCGAAACCAAGCCGGGGAGAGTTCAAAAATCGTGGGGGGCGTACCACGACAGTGGCCACCTAGCCCATTCATAACACTCATCCCCCATGCGTTAAGATCCCCGGAAACAATTTGATTCAAAGGATTGGTTTCTGTCATCCTCAAGACTGTAAGGATGAGACGTCCTAGAGCCTTTGCAACTCCCTTTTCTGCATGGGCATGCTGCTTTGGGCAGCGGGTGAGTGGGAAACCGCAATCACCCTGACCAAGGCTCTGATGGTCGCCTCATCCTTAAAGATGGGTTTAGGTGCCCTCAAAGCCTATAGCGCACCTGGCAGTCCTCCCGCCTTCTCCTCCTCGGGAGCGGCCAAGAGGGGGGTGTCCAAGAGGGGGGGGTGCAAATCATGACCGGCGGCATGTGCGCGGCCCAGCGGGGGGGCCAGGGACGTAGTGAAGTAAGAAGAGGCGCCATGAAATCTGGGGAAATATCATGGCCCCCGCCATGATCTCTCCCCCCCCCTAGTCATCCCCCCCCTCTTTTCCGCCCCCGACCTCCTCCTGCGCGCCGACGTTGTCGCGTCGCCGGGGCCGGCGCCGCCTTCTGGCGCGCGCGCGCGCGCCTCGGGGCGCTTCACTCCGACGTGCCCGCCGCGCCCTCGTCGGCCAGAGGCGCCCCCGAGGCCTCCTGCGGCTCGGCCGAGAGCACCGAGCGGACCTCGCCCGAGGTCGCCGCCACCCTGCCGCGGCGGATGGCGACCGCCAGCACCGCGCACGCGGACGCCACGAGGACGCAGGCGAAGGCGGCGACGGGCAGGCTTGCCTGATGGGCCGATTTTCCCCCACCACTACCATAGGTAGGAGAGGGAGAGGGAGGAGGAGGAGAAGGAGGAGGAGGAGGAGGAGGAGGAGGAGGAGAGGAGGAGGGAGGGAGGGGGGAGGGAGGGAGGGAGGGAGGGAGGGGAGGGAGGGAGGGGGGAGGGAGGGAGGGAGGAGGAGGAGGAGGACCTCCCCATCCTCCCTTCTCCCCCGCCCTACTTATGATAGCGGTGGAGGAAAATTGGCCCCTGATGGCCCGGGACTTCGGCGACGCCGCGGGCACGGTCGCATCGACCAGCCTCACAGTCGCGGTCGGGTCTTGCGCCAGGGAGTCGTCACAGGTCGAGCAGACATCGCACTTGGTGGCGATCGTCTGGACCGCCAGGCTGCACAACGTCTGGCCTTCGGGGAAGTCGGCCTCCGGGTTGTTGGAGCCGAAGCTGCCCTGAAGCTCGGAGATCGCCGTCTGGAGCAGGCCCAGGCAGGTATCTTCGCCGCAGCCGGCACCGTTGTCCATGCCGCACCAGTGCTGGACCCGGCAGTTGGAGACCGAGACGTACTCGGCCGCGGCGAGGCCGAGCAGGGAGGCGAGGGCGGCGGCGCGCGCGAGGAGGGCCATGGCAGGGCGGAATGTTCTCTGGTCGCTCGGGGGCTCTCACTGGCAGCTGAGCTGAAGGAGGGCGGTTTGGGCCAAAATGGCTACGGAATCCGAAGTCTTGTTTTTGCTCAACACGGCGCCTCGGAAGGCCCTTTCCCGAGGGCCGGTGTTTCATCCCGAGCCGGTTTCTCGCGGCCCCGGGTGCGGGAAATACTTACATCCATATCCAAAGCGTCGTGGACTTGCTGGGAAGGGGTGCCGCAAGGCCGAGCCACACCGGATATGGAGAAACATCAAAACCCTTCTGGGGCCAAATTTCCATCCATATCCAGTGCGCCTCCGGTTTCTGGGGAAGAGAGCCCAAAGCTCCAAGACGCACTGGATGACAACAACGCCGACGACAACGCCGGGAAAGACACCCCAGAGGAGCCCCGAACCTCGAACAGGGGAGATGTCGATCCCTATCCTAGACTTCGTGGGGTGTTTTCGAATGGACCAAACATCTGGGAACCAACCGTGGGACATACGATGGGGGGGGGCGTCCATCCTCGATAGGGGCGCGTCCGAATGGCCCCCTTGGGGTGTATGCCAGGGTTCTCTTGAGCCCCGAGTCCATTCCCGAGGGCCGGTGCTTCATCCCGAGCCGGCTTCTCGCGGCCCCGGGGGCCCCGCGAGGGCCGCCAGAAGGCCGAGCACGGACCCGCAGAACCTCTTCACGGAGCGGGTGCTGTCAGGGGAGCCGCGCGCCGCAGGCGGCGCCCCTGGACCTCTCCCGGGTGGCATTCAGTGAAGGGGCCCTGGGGCACACAAATAAATACACACAGATAACAAAGTTCCCAATCTTTTCCCATAACTTCTGGGCTTTTCCCAACCATCCTGTGGTGTTGGGCCCTCGTTTTGAAGAGACGTCGCCCCGCGTTCCTTCCTCCTCCTCCTCCTCCTCTCCCCTTCCCACACCCATTCTGGCACACCCCTCACACGTTTCGTGGGCCCCATAGGGAGCTCCACCGAAGGCCCCAGTGGCTGCGCCCGCAAGGCGTGGCCCCGCCCATGCACCAGTTTCGTGGCCCCACTCCACCGAAGGCCCCAGTGGCTGCGCCCGCATGCGGTTCCACCCCCATTCTGGCACACCCCTCACACGTTTCGTGGCCCCATAGGGAGCTCCACCGAAGGCCCCAGTGGCTGCGCCCGCATGCGGTTCCACCCCCATTCTGGCACACCCCTCACACGTTTCGTGGCCCCATAGGGAGCTCCACCGAAGGCCCCAGTGGCTGCGCCCGCATGCGGTTCCACCCCCCATTCTGGCACACCCCTCACACGTTTCGTGGCCCCATAGGGAGCTCCACCGAAGGCCCCAGTGGCTGCGCCCGCATGCGGTTCCACCCCCCATTCTGGCACACCCCTCACACGTTTCGTGGCCCCATAGGGAGCTCCACCGAAGGCCCCAGTGGCTGCGCCCGCATGCGGTTCCACCCCCCATTCTGGCACACCCCTCACACGTTTCGTGGCCCCATAGGGAGCTCCACCGAAGGCCCCAGTGGCTGCGCCCGCATGCGGTTCCACCCCCCATTCTGGCACACCCCTCACACGTTTCGTGGCCCCATAGGGAGCTCCACCGAAGGCCCCAGTGGCTGCGCCCGCATGCGGTTCCACCCCCCATTCTGGCACACCCCTCACACGTTTCGTGGCCCCATAGGGAGCTCCACCGAAGGCCCCAGTGGCTGCGCCCGCATGCGGTTCCACCCCCTCACACGGCACACGTTTCGTGGCCCCATAGGGAGCTCCACCGAAGGCCCCAGTGGCTGCGCCCGCATGCGGTTCCACCCCCCATTCTGGCACACCCCTCACACGCTTCGTGGGTGGCTCCATGGGGAGCTCCACCGAACGCCCCAGTGGCTGCGCTCGCATGTGGTTCCCCCCCCCATTTCGGCACACCCCTCACACGGTTCGTGGCCCCATAGAGAGCTCCACCGAAGGCCCCAGTGGCTGCGCTCGCATGCGGTTCCACCCCCTTTTTCGGCACGCCCTTCACACGTCTCGTGGCCCCATAGGGAGCTCCACCGAACGCCGCAGTGGCTGCGCTCGCATGCGGTTCCACCCCCCATTTCGGCACACCCCTCACACGTTCGTGGCTCCATAGGGAGCTCCACCGAAGGCCCCAGTGGCTGCGCTGCATGCGGTTCCACCCCCCATTCTGGCACACCCCTCGCACGTTTCGTGGCCCCATAGGGGGCTCCACCAAAGGTCCCAGTGGCACTGCCCGCTTGCGTCCGCCACCACCCAGCACAGCCCTTGTTCCCTGCGCTTCACCCACCCAGAACAGCGCTTCGTAGCCCTATAGGGAGCTCCACCAAAGGTCCCAGCGGCACCGCCCGCATGCGTCCGCCACCACCCTGCGCAGCCCTTGCTCCCTGCCTGCGTTTCACCCACCCAGTACAGCGTTTCGTGGCCCCATAGGGAGCTCCACCGAAGGTCCCAGTGGCACCGCTCGCATGCGTCCGCCACCACGCAGCACAGCCCTTGCTGACCGCGTCTCACCCACCCAGTACAGCGCTTCGTGGCCCCATAGGGAGCTCCACCGAAGGTCCCAGTGGCACCGCCGGCATGCGTCCGCCACCACCCAGCACAATTGCGGCATTCACAACTGCATATGGTTGGGTCCTTCGCCAGGCTAATTGTCTTCCCCCCCACTTCCCAAATTTCCGATATTTTCCGGGGAATCAACAATTAATTGTGTGTGCTTTTCCCCTCCTGATTCAGACCATGATACTCGTCGGCGAGAAATAAGAAGGAGAAGGCCTTCTCAGAAGGCGGCGGGACTTCTCAGGAGCCCTCGCGCCTTCTGAGAATCTGTCCCAACCCTCATGCGTTGGGTTCATGTCTTGGATAGAGCTCTACGGTCAGACACTTTCTCCTCCCCCTCCTCCCGCCTCCCTCTCCCGTTCTGTCCTGCCGTTCACATCGTTCCTTCCTGTGTGCCGGCTTGCCTCCTACTTGGCCATCCCTGGGGGGCTGCGATCTGCGAAACTGTCGCCATTTTAAAAGGCTGCCGGGGGGTGCCACCGGATTGGGGAACCACCCCGACTCAGATTAGACCTCGCCTCCCTACGGGGCTGCGATGGCAAAACTGTCACCATCTTCGAGCGCTGCCGGGGGGTCCAGCAAAGTGGGGAACCACTCAGACTCAGATTAGACCTCGCCATCCCAAGGGGGGTCGCGATCTGCGAAACTGTCGCCCTTTTCGATGGCTGCTGGGGGGTTCAGCGGAGCGAGGCACCACCCAGACTCAGACTAGACCTCGCCATCCTTGGGAAGCTGCGATCTGCGAATTTGTCGACACTTTAGAGGGCTGCCGGGGGGGCCAGCAAAGTGGGGAAACATCCAGACTCATATCAGACCTCGCCATCCCTGGGGGACTGCGATCTGCGAAAGCGTCGCCACTTTAGACGGCTGCCGGGGGGGGCCAGAAGAGTAGGGAACCACCCAAACGCAGATTAGACCTCGCCTCCCTGCGGGGCTGTGATCTGCGAAACTGTCGCCCTTTTCGAAGGCTGCAAGGGGGTCCAGCGAAGTGGGGAACCACCCAGACTCAGACTAGACCTCGCCATCCCTGGGGGGCTGCGATCTGCGAAACTGTCGCCATTTTCGAAGGCTGTTTGGGGGTTCAGCAGAGCGAAGCACCGCTTCGACTCATATTATTAGACCTCGCCATCCCTGGGGGGCAGGGGGCTACTTGGGGGTACAGCGGAGCGAGGCACCACTCAGACTCAGACTAGACCGAAAAGGAACCTAGTTACCGCGCCCGAATCGCGTGCTCTGAATTCCTGGGGGTGGCGTGGGACACGTAAAATACATGAAACTCGGGGCCCCGAGGCCATATACCTTCATGAATTACTCGCAATTCGCGTCCCCGAAACCATATGCTCTCGCAAAATAGGCCGCACTCGTGTCCCCGAAATCATAATCCCGTGTACATTATAGAATACTTGCGTCCCCGAGGCCGCAAACGCTCGCACATCATGCCGTATTCGCGTCCCCGAAGCCATAAGCCTTTTTTGTAATTTACGCGATGCTCTCGTCTCCGAAGCCATAAACATGCGTAAATGACGCAATACTTGCCACCCGGAAGCCATACACCTTCGCAGTGTACGCACGAATCGCGTGTCCAAAGCCATAAACCCGCGTCCCCGAAGCCTTAAACCTGCGCAAATCAGCTATAGCTGCGACCCCGAAGCCATACACCCTCGTAAATTACGCACGGTTCGCGTACCCGAAGCCATAAACCTTCGAAATACAACACCGAAGTCAACAATATCATCATGATCTCCATATGTCTTGCCGATTACTCATCGTCTCCGCGTGAAGTCCCGACGCTGCTTCACGGCGGCGCCAACGCTTCATGATTTTGCTCTTGCATTGCCCATTATCCGGGAGAGTGGGCCGGCGGCAGGAGGCGAAGCCCTTACGGATAACAATTGTCGAACGCCGCACCGTCATGTCGCAGACCGCGCTGTTTTTTTAACGCGCTGCCGACCATAGCAACACTCTTAGGTCTCCTCCCGTCGCGTTCGTCGTCATCCTCTGCCCCCTGCCACCTTCCCTGTGCTGCTGCCGCGCTGACGGTTCGGCCCCCCGCGCGCCCTTATCCTGCCCTTCGTTCCCGCCCTCATGTCCTCCTTCAGGCTGGGCCCTCTCTCCTTGTCTTTCGGTTGTTGTCCTGTGAGACGGGCCACGCGATGCAAATGGGGTTGGGTGCGTCGCAAGGTAATTATTTGTCTTCGGAAAAGGCCTAGAAAGCTTCTCAAAAGGCCGGGGGACTTCCGAACCTTCTGAAAAAGGCCTTCTCCTTTTCACTTCCCCCCCTCGCTCGCCACCGACATACTCATACCGATAGGACCACCCTACGGGTGAGAATGAGGTGGGGGGGAGGGGGGGGCGGTCGTTTTGCGATGGCTCTGGATTCTGTGGTGGCCGTTTCAATTTCCAACTGTCGCACAAACATTTACCCATCGATCGGTCGACAAATTTACCGAATTATAGGCTCAGGACACCCATGTACATACACACACACATATGTATATCTACATACAGACATATATATATATATATGTATATCTGTACATGCCCATGCTTCTCTCTATATATAAATATGTATATATCGAACAACATATAAACATATATATATATATATA